CTCGAAGAAGAACTAATATTGTGAGAGACTTATATAATAGGGAGGAGAACCATCTAAGAAATAAGGAAATAGGATTTGAGTGCCACAAAAGTTGGCTGGGGTAATATATGGAGTTACTTTTAACATATTTTTGAAGTCTATTAGATTTCAAGTTGTTATCCTTCTAAGACACTCTTAGTTTGTGACAGGTCACAACTCGATTGTAATCATTTAGTAGGCATCAAGCCAAATAACTCCAGGAAACCGACAACTGCCAGAATCTACATTTTCTTCCTTTATGCATTCTTTAAAATACTCCTGTTCGCAAAAGAGTGCTTACTTTCTCAGTCTTACAGGACAGTCACAGTCTGAATCTCATCTATCTATCTAGCTCCCCCAGTTGGCTTATGGCAATCAGCAAAAGCTCAGTGCAGCAGCCATTTTTCAGAATTCACCTACTGCCCATAAGATTTTGTAAACATTTTTCATTATGCTGGCTTAATTTTGGGGGGGGGGTGGACACTAAATAGATAACAGCAGAGTACTAAATCAGCAGTTTCACTACACTGTTTGAGAATGAAGCATTTTTCAATTTGAGGTTATTAAGAGTTATGTGTCCAAGATTTTAATTATGAAAGGTAGAGAATGCCCATGATGATAGGAATCATTGCTGAGGCACCTAACCCCACTGCCAGCAACAAAGCAGATTTCAGCTATGAGCACAATGGAATTAAAAAAACGAAGATTGCCATCTTAAGGTCTATCACATAGAAAGTGTTTTTAACAAGACCTTCTAAAAATATGGATTTAACATTTTGTGTTTCTGGAAAGTAGTTACAAGAGTCACAGAAAAGCCTTGTGCCACTGGGTCAGGTGGCACCTACTGGTGACATTCAACAGGTGGCAAAAAAATTGACAAAAATCAAGGTATGAAATAATCTTCAAATACAATGACAATATTAGACAATTGTGGTACACTAAATTCTAATTACTCTATTCATTGCACACAACAGCATAAAAACATTTTCAGATGCAAATGTGGGTGTCTAGTTTAAGATTTCATTAATCCTGAATCACACTCCCTGATACCAGTGTTCATGAACATGCTTAAAGGGCTTTTTTAATGGATAAACATGCTCAGACACAGGGATCACTGTATTTCATCTTTAATGATGAGGTTTTTAAAAAAAATGTGTGTTCTGTAAAAGCAAAAAAAACAACAAAAACAAAAAAAAAAACTTACTCTTAATTCCTGAAGTTTGTCCATATATACTTGTTTTGGTTGGTCCTCCCCATCTTCATAAAGCCAGTTTTCTGTATCTTCCAACATTAAGGTCAGTTTACTGGACTCCTAAAAAGCAAGTTAAGATTTTTATAGTGGAAAAAAAAAAATCATTCAGAAAAGCTCTCTCTTTATGAAGAGAACAGAATTTAGGAGGTAGCAGGACAAATACAAAAATGTCCTAATTAATTCATATCTACTGAATATGAAAGGGAATTTTGGGTTCACATGGCAGTTAATTATTAGCTAGAAAATCAAGTGGGGGAAACTAAAGACTGACCACAAGGATTTTAAGCCTACGCTATACATCATAGTGCAGTGACATATTGCATCTTTACTAATCAGGTTTGTAATTTACTGTAACAGAGATTTTGCATATTCCTTTTTGAATACTGATAATGAAATTTTGGATTTCTCTAAAGTTAAATTATATTCACAAAGTATCTTAAGCTTCTAATTCTGTCAAATTCTCCTCCTTGGTAATATATTTGTACAGAAGAAGGTTATGGGGCACTGGCAAGAGTTTAAATAGCAGTACTTCAATAAATTACATATAAGCTATTAGCCAGCTAAAGTGTAACTTATGTAGTATGGTTTTACCAATTACAGCCACCCTTGTTCATTCATAAAAAGCAGATATTGACAATATTTGGTTCAGTATTTCCACCACAGTAAAATGTTTAAGATGATTCTTGGGCTTTGTCTGGCAGAAAACTGAGGCCTCATTCTCCCTTAATTTACTCTTCAAAGGGCTTTGCGCCACATGTACTTGTGGTCTAGTACAGCATTCATCAGTTATGCTCCCAAATAACCACTGGAGCAGGCTTTGGTATCAACACTTACAGTAAGTTTAGTATCAGAGGGGTAGCTGTGTTAGTCTGGATCTGTAAAAAGCAACGAAGAGTCCTGTGGCACCTTATAGACTAACAGATGTATTGGAGCATAAGCTTTCGTGCGTGAATACCCACTTCGTCAGACGCTGACGAAGTGGGTATTCACGCACGAAAGCTTATGCTCCAATACATCTGTTAGTCTATAAGGTGCCACAGGACTCTTCGTTGCTTTTTAGTAAGTTTGGTGTCGCTGTTAGCCAAAGTGGCTGCTTGGGAGTTGTAGCTGATTTCTATTTTGGCAGCTACTGGACACAGGGACACCACAATAAGACCATCAAGGAACATTGGATGCAGCCTCCAAACACATGGTAAGACACAGAGGGGATAAATTGGTGTGCTGTCTGGCATTTCTGGTTTGGGCCTGCAAGACGTACCAACCCAACAACAGCTTTTTCCCAATATGAAATACCTTTCCAGGCTAAGGAGAAAGCGAGGTTAAAGATATCAAGAGGGGCAAGCTTTGTTTGTGCCACTTCTCATTTTATTCCTCAAACCTACTCACTCCATTTGGGACCAAATACTAACAGATATGTCATGTTTTTCTAGATTTTCATGGAGACAAGTGACATTTGAGCCTGACTGTAGTTAGACCCCAGGATGACATACCCCCATACTTGACAAATCTTTACCATCTAGAGAATTCTCTCATACAGAACTAGGGTCAGTAGACTCATGATTGTTAAAGTGGAACAAAACTGAACTGAGTTGGATAGTTAGTATTCCTATGTTTTAAGGCTAGTGCACTTCTCCAAGGAATTAACCAGAAGCCCCAAAAGAAAAGTTGTACTTACTTAATTCATGTAGCTCCGAACTATACCATACTCAGTATTAAATAATAAGTTCAATGTTAGAACTGTTATAAATTTATATCTGGCTCCTTACTTCCTCGGTGACGAATTTTTCGAAGACACCATACAGCTTGTCTCTGAAATCATACACATACTCTTCAACAGCATTCTTAGCATCATTTCTTTCTTTCTCTAGCTTGTCTTGCATCATCATCTTCCCCTATGGGAGGGGAAAAGAAAAAGCTCAAAATCAGTTTAAATCTGATGCACAGAAACGTAAAGAGTGCAAAATTAAAAATGTAAGTGTTATCCTGTAGAAAGCTATGCCCAGCTGTGCAGATTTTTTTCAGACTCGAGCTAATGTAACTTCTGTTTCAACATAAGCACTATTCAAAACTTGTTTAGTAGCAGCACAAGAAAAAAAATTCTGAAATGCAACAGGTTTTACATTGCCTAGCTGTTTGATCACCAGTAGAGAGCAATTATCAGACGGACAATGAGAAAACAGATACTCTTGTTAATAAAGATCCAAATTGGGGATGACTGAGTAATACATCCGCTATAAACATAGGGGCTTTGACAATTTGAGGAAACACTGGTTTAAGCAACTAGGATTTTTGGAGCATTTTAGATTGAATTATACTGCAGAGTTGCCTACATATAAATCGTCTCTGCCCTTTTTTTTTCTGACCAAATTACAGCTGTGAAATCTGATTGTAGCCCCTTCAGAAACAGGGAGATCAATACAATTTTCTATTTTTGCAACCTCTAGCAGCTTAGTTCTGCCACTTCCTTTCTTCCTCCACATAGAAGCTTCCAAACCTCTCAATTTTATTTTCTAATCCAAACTAACATCCTAAAGGAACTTGTATATTTATTGGAGGGCAAAAGTTTGCACTCTCAGCAGATTAGAGAAAAAGAATTCTCATTTGAGCTGAGTGGCATTACTACAGATTGATGGGATCAAGAAGCATTTCTTCAGCTGAAGAATACTGGCATGGGGCTGGAGAGTGCTGCAGACAAGAGGCTAGACAATGGTTTCCAATAATGAGGAATAATTTTGCCTTTCAAGGCCTGACAATTCCTAACATGATCAAAAATGATCCTCTGAATGGCAAGCTCTGTTTGTAGAGATCACAATTTATTCCATTTCTAGACTTTTTCCCCCCCAACTCCTAGACAAACAGGATAGCTGAAGATGAAACCTCTGTTAAAACCTAAAGACTGAAAAAAATTGCATCCTGGTCAATTCTACCTTTGCCCCAAGAAGAACTAGGTCTTGTCACCAGCTGTCTCTAATGTACTACCTCACTCTGGAAGTTTAGATTCACTGCGATCCCCAAGCAAAGAAACTTATACTAAAGTTAGTGGTGGCGGTTTAGCCTGAACTGCACAGACTTTTGGAGACTAGGAGTTAGAATTTCAGTTTATTAAGAAAAAACTGGTATGACCAGTAATAGTGATGTTACAGGAATTTCAAGTAAATTTGGTAGTTCTAAATTATTTAACTCAGGAACAAGCTAGTGTATGCTACCAACTATTTCTTGGACAAGGAGAATTCTTTGCATGGAGATGTGAATATGAGTGAATCTTAAAGGAACTATGCACTTACCTCATTTTCTATGTAGCTATTGATAAGGTCCTGCCCCAACTGTTTATACAGACTAGCCTGGATAGGTAGTTCAATACTTTTGATCTTCGCTTTAGCTTTAACAGGCTGAGCCAGATGATCTGGCTTGTCTCCTGAAGCAGTCTATGGAAAGAATTACATTCTGAGAACTATTTGATACTATGTGTAACATTTCTATTGTAGTCCAAGGTATGCGATTAAAAAGGGAGAATGCCAAACATGAAAATGCAACAGCCAAGAAAGAACTGAAAAAAAATTGATGCTGCTGCACTACTCCAGGGACACTGCTATCTTAACTTTGTATTAAGTTTATCTCTATCTGCCTTTCTGAAAGGCAGAGTGAGAATAATATCTATAGTACATTTAAAATGAGAAATGATTAAATTAACATTACTATTAATTTTTGAAACACTAGCAATGCCTTATATTGAATTTGACAAAGATGTGAAATCAGGCAGTAAGACTACATTAAACACTACTTGAAAAGAAAATCAGTCCAAGAGTTTTTTAAATTAGTTGCAGCAAAATCTCTGGTGCCTGCATTTCCATAATCCATTGTTTCAAAAAAGCCTATATCATAGCATCAATGTGAATCCCATTATTTCTTTAATGTCAACTTTAGGGAAATGTTCTCTGAAGTCTTAAACTCATACATCAAAAAAGAAATGTTGAAAAAAGTTGTCATTTTTAACTGTACCATGGCAGTACTACTAATTATAGTTTTGATACTCCTAGAATAATCCTTTGTACTTCAATTGATGAGATGTACATGGGGAAGTGTATACAGATTTACATATTTATTGGGAATACCAAGCAAAGAATGGTCACATGAAGACAGGAAAAAAGATTAATATGGGCAAATTCACAAAAGTTTCCTTTATCAATACTTGATACAAACCTTTGTTTCAGTTCCTCCATGTTGTTCACTTTCCTCATCTGCTTGGCTTGGCTGTTCTGCCTGGCTTTTGTGATTACCTTCCTCTTGGTCAACCTGCATTTTATCCTAGGAAGAGAAGGTAAGATAATTGAACACCCAACCTTGCTCAAAAGATGTTCTGAGTGGAGTCAACTACTACATATTAGCATTTTGTTATAAAACACAGTGGAGTCTGTTAGTTTAAAAACAGGACAAAATCCTCATATGTAACATAATTAAAGTGACATGTTTTGATGCAGTGTTATCCTGTGTACTTAATTCAGAAAAAGATGTGAACTTTTAAAGCTAAAAAATATTCTGAAATGGTCCTTTTGAATGTGCCTTGTGACAAAGTTACAATAAGCCCGCAGTACTTACACACATTTAATTGAAAATAAGTTGGAGGCAAGGACTAGAAAAGACATTTTAAAGAACACAATACCAACATGGGTAGGAGAGGAAAAGATTCTCTATGGAACAGTCAGAACTTCATGAGATATATTGCATCACCACAAGTTTACACTTTGAAATCCAATGTAAAAATACATTTTCATTGACTTAATTTTTACTTACATATATAGTCATAGTAGGACCATGAAACTAATTTCCAGTGTTAGTGTCAAAATCTTATTGCAATACTTATTGAGCATGCTGCTATTGTCCTGTATACCGCTTCACTTGCTCCAATGAAGGGGAAGCTGCCAAGAGCTTCTGACACTAGCTGTTCTTGGGTGGGTGGACACCCACTATACCAGATCAGCACTTGTTCAAAACCAGTTTTGTGAGAAGGTGGGGTACATCATCACAGTTCAGGTCTAATTTCTTCCTGAAAGGCTCAAAGGAGGGTAACTAAACACAAAACCCCTTTGAAAAATGTTATGTCAACCAGGAGCTTAACTCCCACCTGCTTTACCACTACTATATACGATCATGCTCACTAGTTCCTGTACAGTGGAGGCTCTTTGACACTTCTCAGGTGTATGGGCAAAGCAGCAAGTAGGGCAGGCCCATGATATTAGCACTTGAAAACTAGTTTTATGTACCTACTATGAATCATTTCTTTCTAAATTTGTAAGTGTCAAGATACAGTTCATGTAGCATATTAGAACTATTTTTAGACAACACTAGGAGTTGCTGGCATCATTTTTTTTAAAACGAGTATGGTGATTCCCCCCTCCCGATTTTGTTCCCCTGTATCTTTCCTCTAAGTAACAGCCCTATGGTTAGTTCACCTGTTCTGGATTCCTAGATTCAAGTTTTAATGATGACATCACAATTACTGTGAACAGTTATTCAACACGAAGTCAGTTCAACTAGCAGCTGAACTTTTTAGTAACAAAGATTTTCTTGTCATGTATATACCTTTAGTAATAAAATAGGGAACACAATGTATATTAACTAAGCAGAAATGTCTCCTATTAAATTGTCACATGCACTCAACTATTTAAACACCAGAATTAAAACAACAGCAGCACTAACATTCAGAGTTCAAACTGAAGGTTGGGGTCTCAAGTACTTTAAAATCTCAAAATGGCACAAGACAGAAATCTGCCTAATTTTAAAACCTTGTGTTTGTGGTTGTAATGCATGTAAACTTATTGAAGTTTTTTCAGTTTTTAATATGAGGGAAGCGATAGCCAATGAAAGCAAAGCTATATAGCACTAATATCTAGGAAAAATGACTAATACTGTTTCTAGAATTCAAAATGCATATTTTACCTGCTAATCACATTTACTCAGTTTGCTTAAAATAAATCCTTTAAATTTTAAGTGGCAAGTTCAGTATCAGTAGATTGCTAAGTTTTCATACTGTACTTAAAGGAAAGTTACCTTTTTCCATTATAATAAGATTAGAAGCAATTCCTAGTAAGTGCAAAGTGAATTACTTTTAAATTTCTCTTTAGTAACTGAAACTGACAGCAACACAAAAATGCACATGGACTAACTCAATTATTTCCCTATATGTTAATAAGATTTGTTGTGAAACTCTAGGCACCAGCATATATGCTGCAACCATTATGAGCATGAAATAATTTAGTTTGCTAAACTATTGTTTAACAATATACTTTAAGCAGCAGCAGGCTACTTCGGCCAAGTTCTTAGAGTTGTCTTTTCAGAAGAGAAACCAAGTTTTCAACTTATTGTTCTTACTGTTCACACAGACTACCAAAGGCAACAGTTGGAAAGAGGGGAAGGGGGAATCTTCTTTATATTTAAGAGAAACAGCTAATTATAAGAATACTACATATATGCATCACAAACCTTATCCTCAGAGTCAAGGGTATCATCCTCAATTATGAAAGAGAATTGCTGACAAGCACCATAGTAAAAACAGAAGACAAATTAGGAAGAACAGGAATATTGTCATGGAAGAAAGCCTAGGGATAAAAGTGGTTACTTTTGTATTGAGCACAGTGTATTATTATTATGAATATTCTCCACATATAGTACATTACATGGAAATGTCAGCCATGTCTTTTTCCATTACTTTTTCCATTTTACTTATTAATAAGTGTCTTCAAAATGTGTCAAAGGCACTTTTGTACTCCTTGAGAAGTATACTGTAAGTTTAAAATATTAACCCATTCAAGTTATCAGAGCACAAAAGTGTCCTTATGCTTATGTAATGCTAATTGCTCTACCACTTGTTCTAACCTTCATAAAAACAAAGGTTGAATGAACTAAGCAAGAAAAACTGGAAAAATATTACCACGGGAGGAAATATAGGTGTTGTTTAGAAGAAGCCTTCTCTTCCAAAGTCCCTATCCTGAGGAGCTCACAACTGAATTCAGACAAGTTCAAATCCAAGAGGATATGAGAAAATGAAATTAGTACAAATCTTCTGGAAGACAGAAAATTAGTTTTAAGAAGAGATTTAAAGGAGTAGGCAGGCAAGGTGCTTCACTTACACAATAAGAGGCTATTTTAATAGGAGTAGCAACGTTTTGGAGACAGTGGGGGAGGTGGCAGATCAATTTGAGAAGGTGAGATGTTGAGACGAAGAAGTGGTCTCGAGTCCAGGTGAATTTATGATCAAGGAACACACCAAGATTTTACCAGCAGGGAGGGTAGAGGGTAGATTTCAGAAAAGTGAAAGAAGGAAACCACCAGGATTTAGCAAAAGCCTGGATGGAAAAGAAAAGGAAGGGAACACTGAAGTTGAGTCTAACTGGGAAAAGAGTTATAAATGGTAATAAAGAGAAGTGATAGTTTTGGAGGAGAACAGGAAGTTTAATATAATGACAGGAATTGCAGGAAGTGTGCCAAAGTTGGAGAGGCAAGCTTGAATGGAAGGGAAGAGACTGAACATAGAGAGCTACATTTGGAGGGACTGCCATACAAAGCATCAATGTAAAAAGGCAGATAATGGAAACAAAAAAGGAGGATACCAAGAAAAGAAATCTGAGGGATGCCAGGAAAGAAAGGAACCAGAGATACTGGAGCAATAGCAGAACATGTCAAGCCCTGTTGCAGGAGCCAAAAGATAAAGTACAAAATGAGCAGCAGCAAAAACAGTGCACAGATTGTAATAAAGTCAGACTTCTTTGTACTTGGCTCAAAATGTTCACTTGTGACCTTGAGCAATTTCTCTGGAGAAGAGAGAGAGTGGAGACTGGATTGGAAGTCCAGGCAGTGAGAATACAGTATACTCACGAATCTTTCATATGAAGTGTCAGTGGGTAAGACAGATGAGTGGATGATGAATTTAAGTTAGCAGGACACAACAGCATGTTTTAAGGCAGAGAGAAAGGAGCACTGTTGAAGAGGAATAGTCACAGATGGATAATAGGAGGGGCACCTCATACAGAAACAAGGAATACAGGAATGGAAAAAAAGGAGGAAAGTTCTTAATTGACTTGGTCAATATGGTCTGCGGAAATTTGCGGACAGTCACCAGGAGTTGAAAGCATAACAGTCACAGAACACAGGAATTGTTTAGCAAGCTCCTTAGGCAGAACTGAAGGAATAAATAGAATGGGCAGGGGTAAATAAACTTATAGTTGAATAGCAGGAAGTCAAGTCAAGTCATTATTTTCACCTGAGGTACAAATATAAAAATAGTGAATGCAAAGCAAGAGCCACGATTGGCTATTAGTAGAGTAAGATGAGGGTAAAAAAAAATAATAAAATGTGGGTAGAATTGGACATACAGGCTAGAGAGCTGGCAGAGCAGCAAGTATCAGAAGGGAGAAAAGATTAGAGGTTAAGATTAGAGGTGGCAGAAATTAAATGAGCAATAGCATGAAGAAGGAGTGGGAGAGTTCTTCCTATTGCCAGAAGGCTGCATGCTGCTCTTGACATCCATTGGGGTCTCCTGGGGAGTTAGGACATGCTCTCTCAGAGCCAAGCGGTAGATCCCAAGAACAAAGGCAAAAATTTGGACTAACTTAGCTAAGACTGTAGTCCTGTACATACAGCGCTCTCTCTCTCTCTAAGGGACCACATCAGGAGCAGGAAAGAAAGGTGGTTTAAGCTTGCCCATTGCTTTACCGACAGTTACAGGTCTGCAGTTGTGCATCGTAGACGATTCAGTGTCATGCAATTGTCGTATTCTCTTCTCCCTAAAGATTAGTCTGGTGCCCTCCAGGGGTTGCATGCTTTTAAGGTTAGGACATGCTGCGGTACTGGAACTGAGATGAAGACTTGAGCTGATGTCCGTCTTATGGGGATTATGTCACTAGCTAGTATATCACAAAGATTACAATGCCAATTCCTCAGTATCAGTGATTAAGTATGGCATAAAATTGTTAAAAAACTGTAACATTTCCCCATCTTTCAGTCATGCAAGCAAGTTTGCACTTAAAGGTTTTCATGATTAAAGTATATAAAATGAAAAAATGCAAACAAATGAAAGTTTAGTTGATTGTAGTTAAAGATGAAATATAGCGATTTTCCATTAAGATGCACAGAACCTAAACTGTTTTCATAAGTAAGCTTCATTCAACAAGTACTTAATTTTATGAAGTGTTTTATAAAAGTTTGTTATAAAACAATCATTAAATATCTTTCCTTCAAAAGCAACATAATTGTTGCCATTCAATGCTAATATTAAAAAAATGCTGAAAACTGTTAGCAGAAGAAAAAAATTTGAGGAAAATGTAACACTTTCTATGGGTATCTGTGTGAATCATATTTTCATTTGTCTTTTACACTGTAAGCTCCTTGGGGAGTGAAAGGTATGTGTCTTGTGTAGCCCTGAACATACCACTACTGCTTACTTAAATAGAAAGCTGCACACACATGAGATTAATATGGGAAAATAAATCACTCAAAAGTAGCAAACTGGAATTAACTATGATTTAATCTTTGATTCTCTGTTCTTTTGTTGCAATTACAAGAGAAGTTTTACGTACCAGCTCATCATCTTTGCCTTGATTCTTACATGATAATCCTGTGTCCATAGGTACATCACTGTGATCTCCTTCCACATTTTGCTTCTCTATTACTGATGCATTAGCCACACTGAAGATTCCATGTACATTGACACGTACTTTAACCTTTACTTTGGAATTGTCACCGTCATACTGAGGACCAACATTCTGAATAGCGAAACGCCCTAAACAAACAAGCAGCATATGAGGATTAATCTGGTTTTCTGGAAAGTCTAGAGGGACAGTCATTCCTCAAAAATACTCCCCAGATCCGCTTTCACTGCCACGCATTTTAAAAGGCCATGAAGTATTTCTCCAAAACACAAGTATTTGTAGGTTTAGAGGGGTAACTCAGTAGCTAGAACAATGTATAATTTACCCCAGAACATTCCTTTAACAAATGCAGGAACTTCAGTCGTACAATCTCTCCTGTATAATTAATATATACCTGTGAAGAACTCCATAGTCTATATTCTGTGAGAAGCAATGGATCTAAGGAGAAAATGAGCACACAGGATTGGGAATCAAGTAGTCCTCAATTTTAATCTTAGTTCTGCCACTGACTGTGGCACCTTGGAAAGTCACTTTGAAAATCTGCCTCAGCCTCCCCAACTGTAAAATGAGGATCTCTTTACATGAGGCATTGCAATAATTTGTACAGTGATATTAACATGTAAAACACTATACAGAAGTACCTTTTTCTAAGTACCCCAAACTGACAAAATTGGGCTCGGAGATCACTGGAGGTCTTATTGACAAACACATTACAATCCTGGAAGATTGGAGGAATATACTTTGTACTTCACCCCATTCTCTTAGATCTTCCTTCAGACATTTTTTTTTTAAATAATATAGTTGCCCTCAAAATGGTGGTACCACCTAACCCTTTGACAATTTTACAACTTCATTCCCCTTTCAAGAAATCAATCTGCTTGCAGGAAGAGGGGGCTAAATTCCATCAAGTCTTTCTGCAAATTATTCATTCAGCTCTAATTGCAACCATTCTGCTTTGATACAGACCGTAGCTATGCCTCTTAGAGCACACTGAAATATTGCATTATGGAAATGACAAAGAAGGCTGCACTGAAGAAGTTTCAGCTAGGGCAGAATCTGGTTCAATTATGGCCATGTTACCCAGGGACACAATGCCATTTGTTCACCTGTACTGGCTTCCGACTAGTTTCAAGGTGCAAGTTGAAGTGCATTACAGTGTTTAGTGACTAGTGCCATAGGGAATAACATGGCTCAAAAAAACAATAGTTACCGTGTATGTGGATATTAATTGCTTACCTTAGTTTCAGACTATACCTGCACGCAACAAGAAAGTTTACCAAATGGCTGCTACTCTGGTGATAACTGACATGAAGTTTCAAATTCAGCTGCTTTAGTTATATGTGCACAGAAAAGTCTTCTGAATACATTCCCCATTCTCACTCTATCTATGAGCCGAATAAGTTTTGCTCAGTCTTTCACAAAAGTTTATATTTGATTTAAGACAACCAGGCATAGAAAATATGAGCACAAGTAAGATGAGTGAATGACAAAGAACTTTAAGGTTTCTTGTCTATAATCAGAGTTCTTTGAGATGGACTCTGCACATTTCCATTCATGGGATGTGCTGATTCCACTGTCAGAATTGCACAAACTTCTCACATCAGTGCTCATTAGAGTGTTCTCAATCCTGTCCAACACCTTCTCCTCCCTGTTCCTGAGCATTCTGAGGGCAAGGCTATGAAAGGGGGTGTGGGGTACTCTGGTCATCTCAGATCCTTCTACCCCACTTCAGGGCCGAGATGATAATTATGACTCTAAAGAAAGAAGGGAAGGTGGATAGGGAGTGTAAATGTATAGTCAACCTTCAAGAACTCTGATTAAAAGGTGAGTAACCTTCATTTCTTCAAGTTGTCCCTTCCCAGTCCCACTCTTGTGATAATTTAGAAAGCAGTACTCTCATCCAAGGAAGATGGGATCCAGAATCCTAATCAAACAGCAACTGAAGGACTGCTCTATCAAAATAAATCACCTGATCAGAATGCTAACTTTAACAAACAGTGCTTCATAAAAGTGGGAACATGCCTAAGGCATCCCACTGAAGCTGCCTTTAACCTTGTGGAATGTAATCCAATTCCCACTAGGACAGGAGTAGAGAAAACTTTATAGCTTTCCTCTATACACTGCCTAACCCACTTAGACAGGGCATGCAATTACATCCCAATGCCTTTATTATCGCCCAAAAGAAAAACAACCCTCCCCCCAGCAATTTGCTGACTTTCTAAATAGGACTAAGAAATTTAGATAGAAAAGTAAAGCATTTTTAGCAACTAGTTTGTGAAACTTTGACATATGGGAAAAGGACACTGGCAGATTACTTAACTGGTTGAGACAGAAATCAGTTATCACCTTAGCCAAAAAATGGAGTATCACTTTGTCCTTATGGAAAACTGAAGGCAGATCAGCCACGAGTTTGCTTACTCTTCTAGCAGGCATTATAGCTATAACAAATGCTATTTTGACTGACAGGTGAAACAACAAACTTCACTCAGAGCCTTCCCAATTTGAGATATCCCATCTCCTAGAACTGGAAGGGACCTTGAAAGGTCATTGAGTCCAGCCCCCTGCTTTCACTAGCAGGACCAAGTACTTATTTTGCCCCAGATCCCCAAGTGGCCCCCTCAAGGATTGAACTCACAACCAATTTGAGTTGGTTATGAACCCTTGATGGTGTTGGAGCTTTAACTAGTAAACAGATGGTACCCTTTAGGCAACTTCATACATCTCTTTAGTATGTCATGAGTAAATAGTCTTCTCAATTAGACTGCGATAAGCAGATATGGCTGCTAAGTGAATTTTAACAGATAAAGAGGAACGGAACTGGAGATGAAGTAGGGAGTGCACTGCTACTAGATCAGCGGATCTCAAACTGTGGGTCGGGATCCCAAAGTGGGTCGCAGCCCCCTTTGAATGGGGTCGCCAGGATTGGCTTAGATTTGCTGAGGTCCAGGGCTGAAGCCCAAGCCCCACTGCCCAGGGCCAAAGCCAAAGCTCAAGGGCTTCAGCCCTGGACAGCGGGGCTCAGGTTGCAGAAGCTGAAGCCCTTGAGCTTCAGCTTTGGCCCCCCTGCCCAGAGCGGTGAGGCGTGCGCTTTGCCGCCCCTGCCACCTAGGGCAGAGGGGCTCGGGCAGGCTCAGGCTTCGGTCCCCCCTCCTGGGGTTGTGGAGTAATTTTTGTTGTCAGAAGGGGGTCACGGTGCAATGAAGTTTGAGAACTCCTGACCTAGACCAAATATAAGGCAAATCCCAAACAGAGATAAGCCCTCAAAGTAATGAGTGCATCAGTTTTTTGGATGTCAGTTTAGACTTCTCTGTGCCATCAGCATCTCTGTGGTAATGGCCCAGGCTCACCACTTGCATCCACAGTCAAAGCTATAGTTTCCATCTCTCCAAAGGAGGTGTATCAACCTTTTTCTATGAACAGATACCAGTTGATTCAGCAGAATGTCTGAATATATCATCTAGACCCACATTCACTGTTCCTGACAGTTTAACCCATACAAGTCTGACCAATCTAGAGAGGTCCTATTTACTAGAAGTCTGACTTACTTTGAAAAATTCCAGGAATCGTAGACTTCCAAGTGCTATGACTTCAAGTGGAAAAAGTTTCCAGTTTAGTCATCTAGTAAAGGGGTTCTTAAACTTCAAATTAAATATGAATCAACAAAGTGATACAGTTGCAAAAAAGGTTAATATTCTGAAGTGTATTAACAGGAGTGTCATATTTAAGACACGTGAGAAAACTGTCTCGTTCTACTTGGCATTGGTGAGGCTTCAGCAAGAGTATGGTGTCCAATTCTGGACACCACACTTTAGGAAAGATGTGGACATATTGGACAGAGTCCAAAGGAGAGCAACAAAAAATGATAAAAGGGTTTAGAAAACCTGTCCCATGAAGAAAAGTTTATAAAGCTGGTCAGGTTTACTCTTGAGGAAAGAACACTGAGGACGGACCGGACAACAATCTTCAAATATATTAGGGGCTGTTATAAAGAGGATGAGACTCAATTGTTGCCCACGTCCAGCGAGGATAGGACAGGAAATAATAGACTTAAATTGCAGCAAAGGAGATTTAAGTTAGATATTAGGAAAAACTTACTAACTATAAGGGTAGTTAGCTTCTGGAATCGGCTTCCAGGGGAGGTGTGGAATCCCCATCACTGACGGTTTTTAAGTACAGGTTGGACAGAACTAGGTTTACTTGGTCCTGCCTCAGTGAGGGGGTCTGGACTTGACACTGAGGTTCCCTCCAGCTCTTCATTTCTATGATTCTATGCCAAGACATTTGGCTCAGTGATTTATATAAACCATTTTAAATGAATGAATCTTTTTTTTTTTAAAAGGTGTACACAAGATTATTTAAAATATATTTTCTATGATCTGTTCTCACCTATTCTGGGTTCAGGATAAGGTATTTCATTTGGATGGGTATAATATGCTTCCAGATCAAAAGGTTCCTTCTTGTGGAAAGTAATAACTTTTGAAAATGGAGCAGCATGGTTCTTACTGAAAACTTCACATTCCCTACAGAAACAGAAAAAGTGTTCAAGTAATACAAGTAACAGTTTATAGAATGACTATGAATCAAGTTATATTAAACCCTGTTATGTTAGCTGTGAACATCCATGCAAACCTAGTAACTAAATGAAACATTTAATACGCATTTGCTTTGGCTCTGGAAAAAGACGGTTACTCACCGTTGTAACTGTTGTTCTTCGAGAT